GCTGAGTGTCACTGATATGCTGCGACTTCTTTGATGAAAGATATTGCACCTGTTCCCTTTACTTTGAGTTCTGTCCTGCTTACTGTAACGACCAAAGGTACCATCCAGCCAAAAACCCCCACAAGATCCGTGGTTGATCCATGTTCGAAACGATATTATTGTATATTATAGGACATTAAACTCATGGTCAAAATGCACAGTGTGAGGTTGCATGAAATTGTCAGGTTTACTAAACTTACCCCGCCTGCAATGTTCTCCTGGGACTGAGACCCCGATCTCGTTCTCGGTTCCACGTGCACTTGGGCGCCCGGGATGAGAATATCGCTGAAGGCTCGATTGATGACGCCATCTTTGTTTTGTCCTACGGAGGACGAACTGCGAGCTGTGGGTGGTGGAGGCGGAACAGGATGTTCCTGGCTCGAGCCGGAGACCGCAGTGTACTGGTTGCTATGGTGACTGGACGCTACGCTAGATTCCGTTATGTAAACAACTTTACCGGGTTCTGGTCAGTGTTCCAAGTCGTTTCAGAAAAAGGAAAAAGGATAAAAAGAAAAACAATATTTATGTATATATTTGGTTTTCAGTGGTACTGTAGTACATGTAATCAAAGCTTACATTTAATTTTCACATCAGATCAAACGAGGTGCAATCACCTTTGATACTTCTTCGTATTAATAATTACTCAGAAATAATCTGATTTTACTGTGGCACTGTTGTGCACAAATAAAAATAATCCAATCTTGCAATTCCACATCATGTATATTTATAACAGCAAAGTACTGTCACCTCAAAACACGCTAATATCACTGATCTTTTTTCGGTAAGTGTTTTACGGCGCTCTCAACAGCATATTAGGTGATATGAGCGCCAGACATTAAGCATTTTCAGTTTGGTAAGAATTAATTTTGAATTTTTCTCGGGTGGCGGCTGAACCCTACTCTTGTCGATTTTAGGACCACCAAAGGATCTTTATAACATGCGCACCTTGCAAACAGGACCTCCAAAATTTTTCGCCCTTATCAAAGAAGGCAAGGTGTTAGATCTTACCTACCCAAAGATCGGGAGTGTTGCTGAAAGACAGCAGAAAGAAGGGGCCAAAGAGTAGCAGTAGAAAGGCAACAGAAAGAGTCAGGAGCCAAGAGAAGGGGGAAAAAGGGGTTGGGTGAGGGGGTGTTAGAAAGTGGAACTGAAACCAGACGACAGAACCTGATTAGCCAGCAGGAAAGGTGAAAGGAAAAAAATGTTTTAGAGAAGAAAATATTTTTGTGGCTTTCAGGTTTCGAACCCGGGACCTCTTGAGTGAAAGGCAAACACCATACCTCCAGACCACAAGAGCCTTCTATCACTAGTCTACTCGGAATTTTCTTCCGGCTTAAAACCAGTTGATTTTTACTAATTTGGGGGGCGCTGAATTCGAAAATGATACTCGTTTTTGATGGTACGGTTCAGTTTTTTTAGATGCATCTTGAGGTATTTCCCCCTTATTTTACAAAGTTTAAAAAATAAAAAGGGCATTTGGAATATAAATTTTTGGACGCAACTAAGTTTTATTTGTAAGATGCAATTATGTGAAAGTGGCATCAGTTTCTAAACAGTATAATACATTTTCTTCTGTTGCTTTATTGTGACCATTTAGTTTTCACTCAGCAAACAGAGTTCAGAACCACAAACAGCTCATTTTACTCAACGAGAACAGCCTCATCTTTTTTAAACAAACCTGACAATTTCTGTAACATTTGTGGAAAAATAACCTGTACTGCACAAAAGGAGACCGATATCAAACTTTAAAAGGCCTATCACCTTGTTTTAGATGCAGAGTTAGTGACCAAGATAAAAGTTGAATTCCTCATGAAGGCTGCAGTACCTGTGTCACAAACCATTGCCAGTGGTTGCAAAGGTAAATAAGATATCAATGTTCTTTACAGTGCCATTGGTTTGGTTTGAACCAAGCAATCAATCAGATAACTGCAACTTCTGTATTGTGCAACCAGGCAGAAAAGAATTAAGGAAAACCGGAAGTGTTTAGTTGATTGTCATGATATTCCATCTGCCCTGCGCCAAGAAACACACAGTGAACGTTTAGTCAATTCCTGTCGAGCCAGAGACAATACTGGGCTGAAAGAGATATGTGAGAAGATAACCCCGAAGAAGAGACGGAAGCTTACATCAAATTCCATCGGAATTGTCTATCAAAATTATACACCATAATATTATGATCACGCAAAATGGACCTAAAATAAAACATCCCACGAGACTGACACCTGCCAAAACGTAAGGCGTTCGGTTCAAGGCTCCAGCAATGACGTATGCTTGCTGACAGTCTGAGAGCGAGCACATTTATTAGAAATCGTGAAAATTATTTTCGGCCATTTTTTACAATGAAGGACAATTTTATTTTATTTAATGATGAGGATGGTCTTATGATAGTGGTGCCGTGGGTGGTGGACATGGTGAACGTTTTCACCAAGATATTGCTGCTGCGGAAAAAGACATCAAGGCAAATAATGTGATAATGTTAGCAGATTACTGCTGGTTAGTTACAAGAAATGTACTAGAACTTGTACACACGAGGTAAGTCAAGAGCAGTGAGTCAAATAAGTATGACGTAGCCCCCATTTCTAGTCCTTATTTATCATATGCGAAATACGAAAAGATTGATATCTTAAAATCTAGACCTAAGCCTCAAATTTCACTATCATTTTTGTGCCCAGAGCCCCAAAATTCCATATAAAGAGTGATGTTGGAGCTTGGAAGCAGACATTTTTTGAAAATGTGTCTATTTCTATTTAATTTAGAGTCTTCATAATAATATTATAATCAAGAACGCATCCAAAAGCCGTTTCACCAATACCGCTTCGCATTCTATGTAAACAACTAGCCACAAAACTGTCTAGAGCTGGGGGTGAGGCGGGGCAGGTCATCTCTCTCCCCACTCTACAGGATTAGGTGTGTTTGTATAAAGAGAGGAGCAGCAGAAAAAATTGACAGACTAGATGCCCCCAACCC